AAAAGATAAAAGTAGATTTAATTTACACTGATTTTAAATTTAGTTCTCTTTAATAGTTAGCAAAACTTTAGTTCTCCTAATTTTGGGTATGATGTTTGGGTCATGTACACCACATATGGGTTATTTGTAAATCTGTCACTTCAACTGAAGGTATAACTATATTGATTTATTTCCACCACCAAACTTTCTTTTAATAAAATTAGCTTTTTTACAGAAGTTAGTAAAAGTTCTGATAAAAGTCCGTAAAATGAAAAACATCTATTTTTTTCCTACTTCACAAATTTTTTTTTTTTTTTTTTTTTTGAGTTGGAGTCTCACTCTGTTGCCCAGACTGGAGTGCAGTGGCTGCTCCCGGCCACCACAGCCTCGACCTGCTGGGCTCCGGCGATCCTTCCGTCTCAGCCTTCCCAGTAGCTGGAACTACAGGTGCATGCTACCACACCTGGCTAATTTTTTTGATTTATTGTAGAGATGAGGTCTCACCAAGTTACCCAGGCAGGTCTGGAACCCGCAGGCTCAGGCAATTCACTCACCTCAGCCTCCCAAAGGCGTGGGATTACAGGCTGAGCCACCGAGCCCGGCTCACAAATGTTTTTATTTTGTCCATTTGCCTTCTTCTCTTTTGCAATCTTATTTGGTTAACATATATACAAGTGTGTGTGTGTGTGTGTGTGTGTGTGTTTGTGTGTGTGTGTGTATTTAACTTGTCATATCTTGCTATGATTTGTCCCTCATCTACCAACATAGCTTCAGTTTATTCTTTGCTTATGGACTGTGTTCTGTGTGCATCCTCACAGACACATAGCTGAGTAGCTGAATGATAAATCTCTCCTGTTGAAAAATTCCATCTAATGATTGATCTCTAATCCTGAGTATGTTAAAAAAAAATTGTTAGTGCCTTTAAAAAGTACAGATGCCTTTACACAATCCTAAAACTTTTAAAATTAAGGACCTCTGGGGATAAAGTCTAGACATGAATATTATTTGAAAAATAAATCTTATTCATGTGTATTAACTAATAAACAAAACAAAAACAAACAAAAAAATCTTCTGAAAGTGTTTCTTTTATTTGCCATGACCTATGACAAAAGATAAATATTTGACATTACATATAATAGGATAATATTCTTTCCTGAATAATTTTTTTTTTTTGAGTTGAAGTCTCACCCTGTTGCCCAGGTGGGAGTGCAGTGGCACGCTCAGGGCCCCCACAGCCTCGACCTGCTGAGCTCAGGTTATCCTGCCTCAGCCTTCCAAGTAGCTGGAATCATAGGCATGTGCTACCATGCCTGGTCAATTTTTTGATTTATTGTAGAGACGAGGTCTCACCAAGTTGCCCAGACTGATCTTGAACCCCCGGGGCTCAGGCAATCCTCTGACCCCAGCCTCCCAAAGTGCCAGATTTATAGGTGTGAGACACCATGACTGACTCTGAGTAATTTTGATATAGATGCCTTGTCTTATATATTAAAATATAAAAAGGTGTATAATAGCTCATTAAGCTGACAGTTCATACTTTTTAATCACCCTAAACCATTAATAATTTCTATTTTTTCCCTACCTTCTATTATAAGTAAAGAAGAATTGACCATTTTCTGTATTTTCATTTTATTTTATTTTTTTGGCGGAAGAATTTTTTCTAAAAGTTATTCCAAGAATATAACTATAGGCTTAAGGAATAAAAAAAAAGATCAGAGTTTAAAAACTAGTTATATCAATATTACATTTCAAAAGAAATTATCAGGAAAATTTCTTAACTGCATTATAATTTGAAAATACATTTATGTGAATAAAATATCATTTTAATGTAATGTATTTTGGCAGTAATCATTTATTAATGGTGTTGATTAAGGTCAAAATATATAAACTGAGTGGAAATATTACACATTTTAAAAATATTGTGCCCTTTATTATCATAAAGTTTAGTTAGTCATTTACTAACAAGATAAATGTTTTCACTGGGATACTTTTTAAAAAAATTATCAAATGTTATTTAAAATTTGAGGCAACAGTATTTGTTTAATAATGTCCATACATTGCAAATTCATAAATCTTATATCTTTATTTTCTAGTGTCTTCCTTATAATAAAAAATGAGATAAGGATATTCCATGTAAACCAAAATCAAGTAACCTATATTTTGGGAAAAAAATTATTTTGAATTTTTGTTAAATTTGTCAAACACTTCCAAAATTTTTTCTGTATTGCCAGGAAGATCTATCATCACACTAAAATGACAGAAATACTTTGGCATTAGTAAAAATTTTGCTTATATCTTAGAGGTGAAAAGTGATATGAAACAACTAAAAATACTGGCATATTAAAATAATTCTAAATGTGGTAGTTCCTGAAACCTTTCTCTACTCAATTATCTCAGTGTTTTATTTTTTTTGAGATAGTTTAGCAATGATCTACAATGTTACTTAAGTCAATTTGTTCAAAATGGTCAAGAAAGCTATCTTACTAAAAGGCATGCTTAATTTGTTGATATTAAAAAAAGACAAAGCTGATAACTTGTAACTGTATTGCCAAGGATTAAGTATGAAAAGTATGAAGTCAATACCTCAGGACTGACTCATTCTCTCTCTCTCTCTTTCTGTCTCTCCCCCTCTTTGTGAGTGTGTGTGTGTGTGTGTGTGTGTGTGTGTGTGTGTGTATGTGTGTATGTGTGTGTGTGTGTACACATGTAAGTACATATACATTTCTTTGAAAACTTACATTTTTACCATGGTTTCTCTGGAAACAAAGGGCACTAGTTCTAGTGCCCTGTGTTTTCTCTTGTTGCAGTAGCTACTCTTTATCCCACTGAGTTGTGGCAGGGAGCTAAAATATTATTGGGATTCTGGATAAATGACTGGTAGAGGACTCCAAAATCTAAGATAATAATAATTAAAACACACACAGACACACACACACACACACACACACACACACACACCTCTGAATATACAGAGACAAAGAAAAGGCACAAGATTAAGAAGAAAATACTGAGAAATGCCTAAAGCAAGGTCATTTAGTTGAAATAAACAATAAAAAATAACAAGATGAACGCAAAGAAATAATTCTACAATTCTACTTTATATACTATGTTAGAATAAACTCAACATGAAAGGACTATAACTCTTGAAAAGCTTGCAATGCAAAACAGGGAAGCAAAAGAAGAGATCATCAATTTTCATATTCCCTACTATGAACTACTTCTTAAATACCTTTTCTCTATTTTCCTCTGGTTTTGACAAAGAAACATTTCTTTACCTTCGCATTACTTAAAAAATTTTTTTTATTAAAGATGTGGAGTACAATTTTAGGTAAACAAATGGTCAATGTACAGGTAAAGTTTGGGCTTCATCTTTGCATTACTATTAAGGTCAAAGCTTTCAAAATCATCTAATGACTGTCAACATATAAAATGTTATTGGATGTACTTTTGTTTTTATTTTTGTAAAATGTATTTGCACAAGTTTTTTGTCTCATTTGTTATAAGAGCGCCACATAATGACAGACTATTACTGGAACATATTGCCTTTTTAATGTAAAACTCCTTAATGTCACAAATTAGATTTCATTAAATTAACCAATTAGGAAGTCAATAGGCTGAGATAGCTTCAGTACCTTATGTTTCTTCATAAATAAACCAAAACTAATCTCAGAGTGAATGGTCCTAGCCTAGGAAAGTGAAATTAGTCTTAACCAATTAGAGACTGGCAACTACCCTCTAACCAGGTACTCTTCGCCTTTTTATTTGTCTTGCTTCCATGAACACCTTATAGAAGGTTTCCCCTCTTGCACCCTTGGTGGAGTCCTGAATTACCTGTAGTTTGGCACCATTCAACTCATGAATTCCTGTTTGTTGAAATAATGTCTTTAAAATATTAATGTGCTTAGGTTTATTTTTTGTCAATTCCTAGGACAATTGTGATTATAAAATTTATTTTCCCAAATTAAATTTCTTAAACTGATAACTTATTTTTTAGAATTAATAATCTTGTGTATAACAACATTTACATTGATTGTCAAGTTATTAAGGTTGAAGATTTTTTGCCTTTGATAGCCTCTTTCTCTGGTAACAAATTATGTCTAGGTATTGACATGTAGTTTGTCAAATATGTGAGAAAAAGACATGCCAAACCAATATGCTTAGAAAGCATTCTAGGACATATGCTGTCCACTGGATATCCACAGGCAGAAATTTCTACAGTTTCACACCAACCAACAAAATAATTCTTCATCTAACTTAACCAAGTTATCTAAAAACAACAAAAAACAAAACCAAAAAGCATTGAACTACCAGCTGCTAGTAACAAGCAGGATGGCTTTTATGTTCTGTTCTGCTTGAGTAAACTTTAGACAGCTTTCTTTTTTACTATAAGCCCCTGATATCCCTTTTCTTAAAGCATTTATTTTTGAACATTTGCAGTTGTGAATTCTTGCCCTGCCCCTGTGGGATATGAGTCTTTTCCCAACCTCTCAACAGTTTTATAACTCAGAAATCTCTCTCTCAAGGACCTGGGAGCCATGCCTTTAGAAACAATTATTAAGAAAGACAGGGCTCCTGTCTTCCAGTTTCTGTGAGAGGATAGGAGACACACTCTATAAGCGCCCATCATCCAACACAAGTGGCCTAATCACACAAACCAACCTCTGGCCTGAAGTCCTCCAGTTCTTTTCTACTAGCTCATCCCAGCACTTAAAACTTCTCCGTCTTTTCTTTCAAGGGAGGTGAGTTCAATTTATCTCCTCTATTGCAATATCTTGACTCCTATTGTAACATTCTTGAATAAAGTCTTTCTTATCTGCTTAAATGATTTAATACAATTTTCTTTGACAGTTTATGGATAGATATTATAAGTTGTGACAAATCACAACTGACCAACATTAAGGACTTCAGGGATCAGGTACACATGGAGAGAAATCCCAGCCAATCTATAAACTACTGTAATCTTGAAATAAATCTTTAGAAGTTTTTAATAATATCATAAGTATTGTCTGAAAAACAGTCACTTGCTTTCCATTTTGATACAGTTCACTCCCCTTTTCCTCAGATGACTACATTGACAGGAAAGTATAAGTAAACTAAGTAGCTGCCATTCATCTTTTTTTCTCTTTACTGCCAAGGAACTTGCTAGAATGAATTAGTTAGGCCTGATCTTTTTCTGAACATTTTCCCTTAGAGTCTTCCAGCAGGCATTTATCACCCCATCTCTACTGCCTGGCACACTCTCAAAGACTCACAAAAAATTCTTCTTACATATTTGCTGAATTGCACTGTTAGCTGGACTGATTTTTCTGCAATTCATCACTCACCATGTTCTCCCTTTATGTTCAATCGTCAACCTTCGAGGAAAATGTCTTTAAGCCTGTCATTCAAGACATTTTATGATTTTGCTCCTTCTTATCTGTCTAGGGTTAATTATTAACTCTTCTTTTTGATTCCTTCTTTCAGTTTCTCCAGGCATCATGAAGTGTCTGGGAAACAGTAGACACAGTATTTTTTTTTAGGTGATAAAGCAGGATTTATTAAAAGGACAGAAAAGCTCCCACAGTGGGAAGGGACCCACAGGGGTTGCCCAGCGGACACAGTTTTAAATCACCATCTGTGGACTCGTTGCTGCCCTGCCTCCCCCATTGGACTAAACCTTCCCATGCACTAACCAGTGCAGTTAGTCTACTTCAATTTGCCATTAACTCTGTGGTTATTGTATGTTAAATCTCTTATATATTTCTTCAATCTTTTTCTCTTTTTTGCACTTTTTCCAGTATCTTACTTTGTTTTCTTAACATGCTCTTCCTGATTTTGATGTCATATACAGTCACTGTAGAGTATTTGGAACATTATAAAAACATCTAGATGATCATAATCTCACCTCTTGGAAGCAACTATTTTTAAATTTTCAGGCTATTTCCTTTCAGTCCATTATTTCTTCAATTTTTTTCAACAGCAATGCTAGAGTTTAGTTCCTAGAGCCAGAAGTTCACTTTACTTATCTCCTCTGGTGCCTACTCCCCACAACCGTCACAAGTATTAGGTCCTATTATGGCTAGATAAGCCTAACAACCTATGACTAAGAAAATGGGTTTTTATGTCTTAATTTTATTTTTGATAAAAAAATAAAAATTTTATTTTTGATAAAAAAAATTTTTTTGATGGTCCTATAGATAAGCCTACCAACCTATGACTAAGAAAATGGGTTTTTATGTCTTAATTTTATTTTTGAATTTTATTTTATTATATGAATGTGGAATGCAAGTGAGGATTAACTATCATACATAAGTAGAATGCATGCCGGTGAGTAAATATCTGTCTGGGATAGGGAAACACCTCTTATCAACAAGGGTGCCTGAACAAAACGTATTTGTATACCTAACCCTTAACTGTACTCCACAATATCATAATAAAAAATATTGATTATAAAAAAAAAAGAAATTTGGGTTTCGAACTGGTCCTCAGTTCCACTAGTAATGACCCAAGTACCTTTTGTGTTGTCATGTATACTCCATCTTCTTCTTCCCTCTCTTCCTTCCTTCCTTAGCAGTGTCCATTGACAACTGATCCCTCCCTTGTGCTAATGTGACTAAAGTTCAAGACCCACTTATGAGTGAGAATATGTGGTATCAAGATCTCTGTCTCTGTGATAGTTCACTTAGTGTGATGGTCGCCAACTCCATCCAAGTTGTTATGAAGTCCATGATTTTGTTCTTCTGTACAGCTGAGTAATACTCCATCATATATATGTTCCACATATTCTTTATCTAATCCAACTTTCTGTAGGTAACAGTATTGGTTTCATGTTTTTGCTATTGTGAATAGTGTGGTAAAAAACATGCATGTGAGAGTGTCTGTTTTTGTAGAACAATTTATGTTCCTCCAGGTATATTCACCAGGAGAAAGATTGCTGGATCATATGGAAGGTCAAATTTTAGCTCTTTTAAAAATTACCACACTGCTTTCCACAGAGGCTGAACTATCTTGCACTACCCCCAGTAGTGTAGAATTCTCTTTCCTCCACACTCATGCCAGCATTTGTTGTTTTTGACTTAGTGATAGCCACCCTTATTGGAGTTAAGTGGTATATCATTGTAGTTTTGATTGGTATTTCTCTGATGATTAGTGAGGCTGAGCATTTATTTGTGTCTATTGGCTGGTTGCTTGTTTGTCATCTTTTGAAAACTGTTTCCTCATGTCTTGTGACCACTTTTTTCATTTTTTTTCTTCTTCATTTGCTTAATTGGAGTTCCTTGTAGTCCCTGGATGTCAGGCCTTTGTCAAATGCATAATTAGCAAGTTTTCCCCCCATTCTGTGGGCTGTCTCTTTACTCTCTTGATTGTTTCTTTTGCTGTGCAAAAGCTTTTCAGCTTGATGAGGCCCCACTTGCTTATCTTAGCTTTTATGGCATTTGCTTTTGGGGACTTGGTCAAGAATTCTTTGCCTTCTCCAATGTGCATAAGAGTGCTTTTTATGTTTTCTTTTCGGACTCATAGTTTGAGGTATTATATTTGATCCATTTAAGTTGATTTTTGTATGTGGTGATAGGTAGGAGTCTAGTTTAATTCTGCTGCATGTGGTCAGTCAGTTTTCTCAACACCATTTGCAAAATAGGGTTTCCTTTTCCCAGTGATTGTTATTGGTAGGTTTGTTGAAGACAAATGGTTGACAGACTGTGTCTTAGCTTCCAGAATTTCTGTCCTGTTCCATTGGTCTACATGCCTATTTATGAACCAGTAGGAGACTGTTTAGGTTACCGTAGCCTTGTAATAAGGTTTAAAGTCTGAAAGTGTGACACTACCCACTTTGTTCTTTTTAGTGAGGATTGTTTTGACTATTTGTACTCTTTTCTGTTTTCATATAAAAATCTGTATTGTTTCCAGATGTGAAGAAAACCTATGTTAGCAATTTTATAGGTATTGCATTGAATCTGTAGATTGTCTTGGATGGGATGGATATCTAGACAACATTGGTTCTTCCAGTTCATGAGAATGCAATGTTTTTCCATTTGTTTGTGTTATCCTTGATTTCTTTGAGTAGCATTTTGTAGTTCTCATCGTAAAGATCTTTCTCTTCTCTGGTTAGGTGAATGTAAAGGATTGTGTGTGTGTGTGGCTATTATAAATGGAATTGTGCTTATATTTGCCTGCTTGCTGATGTATAGAAATGCAACTGTCTTTTGTACATTGATTTTGTAATCTAAGACTACATCAAAATCATTTATCAGTGTGAGGAGACTTTTGACAGACTCTTCAGGGTATTCAAGGTATAAAATCATATTGTCCACAAAGAAGGATGGCTGAACTTCCTTTTTCTGCATACCCTTGATTTCCTTCTCTTGCCTGATTGCCCTTGCTAGGACATTCAGCACAATATTGAATAGGAGGGGTGAGAGTGGGCATCCTTCTCTTGTTCCCGTTCTTAGTGGTTGTGCTTCCAGCTTGTGCTCATAGAGCAAAATGTTGACTGTGGGTTTATCGTACTTGGCTCTTACTGCTTTGAGGAATGTCCTTCTAAGCCTAGGTGGTCAAGGGTTTTTATCAAGAAGGGATACTGGATTTTGCTGAATTCTTTTTCTGTTTCTATATATCATGTGGTTCTTGTTTTTATATCTGTTAATGTGCTGAATTACATTTATGGTCTGCAAATGTTGAACCAGCCCTGCATTCCAGGATTAAGTCCACCTGCTCATGGTGGATGATCCTTAAGATGTGTTGTTGGATTCAATTTACTAGAATTGCACTCATGGTTTCTGACACAGTGTGGGTTTTATTTATTTATCTATTTTTTCTTATTCTCCTTGGGATCTGGTTGCCTACTGCTGTGCCCTGACCAGGACTCCTCCCATGTGAGACTGATGACTCTCGGTGAACAGACCCAAAGTATCTTAGGTACATTCATCCACGTACATTCACTGGGCATGCCTTCAGTTTCTGTGTGAGCCTAGTGCAAGGGTGGGGTGGGGGGGATAGGGGGCTGGGATTCCCATGTCTGCCTTAGTTTTCTCGTCTCTATGTGCTCAAAGAGATCTTTGCTAGGTGCAGGATACTTCACCTGTCCAAAAGTGTTCATCTATTAGTAATGTGGTTCCTATTCCCTGCCTTGCAGTAAGATTCACACCAGTCTGTTCCTCTATAATGGCTATCTTGAATCTTCTTCATGAGTTTTTTAGAATCAAAGCAAATTTTATTGAACTCTTATTCTCACCCTTTACTACTACCTATGTGACTTCTGGCAAATTGTTGAAATTCTATAACCATAAAATCTTGTAGCCAGGCTTGGTGGCTCAGCCCGTAATCCTGTACCTTGGGAGGCTGAGGTGAGTAGATTGCCTGAGCCCGTGGGTTCGAGACCCGCTTGGGCAACTTGGCGAGATCTCATCTCTACAATAAATCAAAAAATTAGCTAGGTGTGGTAGCGTGCGCCTGTAGTTAGTTCCAGCTACTTGGAAGGCTGAGGCAGAAGGATCGCCAGAGCCCAACAGGTTGAGGCTGCAGTGGCTGGGAGTGGCCACTGCACTCCAGTCTGGGCGATAGAATGAGACTCCAACACACACACACACACACACACAAATCTTGTAAACTAGTGAGAATGATAATATTTATATCGATATAATTATGCTTATATAACAATATATATACATAAATATACCTATAATAATATCATAATTTTGTCAAAAGTTCTGAATGGAATGATGTATGCAATGTGTTTAACACAGTACTATGTACAGAGTTTCTGCTCAGTAAATATGAACTGCTATTATAATTGCAGTTATCCTGTTACCATTGATGTTTTAAACCAAGAACTTTTATAGTTTAGCAGCTTGTAATTTTTTCTCTAGTATTGATTTTCTTTCTGGTAGATATTATTGAACAACATTTTAGCAAAAGTTTTTAAACCCATTTTCAACTCTCCTTAAATAGAATTAAATCTTCCTCTAAAATACATCCCAGCATTAACAGGAACATATTTTCAAATGATCTTCTTTTTGTTTACAGAATGTCTCCAGAGATTTAAATATTTACCTTTTATATCAATAAATAGAAATTAACAGAGTCTGTTCAGCAATATAAAGACTTGAGGTGATTGAAAATTCTTAGCACAATTTCTGAATTTTATGGTTCTAAAGCTTATTACTGAATAATTTTGAGATTATATTTTAGAAAATCTCTAGCATCATCTCTAAAACTTGTGTATTAATTTGAGAAAGATTCAATTATTAAACTGGTGAGGTAC